CGGGCCTCATCGACTTAGAGATCCACCTGTCTCTGCTTCCTGAGTGCTGGAATCAAAAACTTGTGCCAGCATGCCCAGGTCTCAAAAATCTTTAAAAAAAAAAAAAACAAAAAACAATAACAGACACTTATTTTTCATAGTTTTAGAGATTGGAGAATCCAAGATCAAGATATCCATAGGTGTAATGTCTGGTGATAACCTGGTCTCTGCAACTAGCAGCTATTCTGCTAAGCTCTACTGATTGATAGGAAGCACCCTAGGGACTCTAGATAAAACTTAAGACAGTACCCCAGGTAGCTTCCAGTCCATTTCTTTTCTCAGCTGGGCTGACACCTTGAAGTCTCTCTCTCCATTCTTCCTTGGTCACCACTTCCAAGGTACAAACATGCCTAAAACCTTGAAGCCAGTCTTAGTGTGTTGCTTCATCTGGTGTTGATAGATAATGAGTTTTGACATCTTTACTGGAGTCTTTTAGAAGGTAGAAAGAGGGTTATAGGGCTGGAGGGATGGCTCAATGGTTAAGAGCACTGACTGCTCTTCCAGAGGACCTGGGTTCAATTCCCAGCGCCCACATGGCAGCTCACAACTGTCTGTAATTCCAATTCCAGGGGACCCAACACCCATGGCAAAACACCAGTGCACATAAAATAAGTAAATAAATAAAAAAGAAAGAGGGCTATATCACATTAAATGGTAAGCTCCTTGAAAGCAAAGACCATGTGTTATCAGTGTGTAACTGTCACTTAGGACAGTGCCTGGGGCATTCTCATAAATGCCTGACAGGTTAATGGCATGCTTACATGGCCAATTTTAGCAGTCTTCCTGCTAAAGGCACCTCTCATGTGCTTTCCATCTTGCTTTCCCCAGTAGCAAATCCAAAATGGTTGATGAAATTAGGTTGAGTTGAACCACAAAGAATTCTACCTCTTTCAGACTGATGGGATTCTCCCAGGTATTCCTGGCTTTTAGTGCAGGTAGTTTCCCTCTGAACACAAATATAACAAGCATGGGTTAAACAAACAAAGAAGTGTGTGTGTGTGTGTGTGTGTGTGTGTGTGTGTGTGTGTGTGTAATATTGAGATATTGAGTCTGGCATCTTCTGCAAGATAGTTTCTTCTAGACATGACAGAGAAGCTGTACCTATGAAATCTCAACAATATAGTCACCTAAACATAACCTGCATAATGGCAGCACCAGTTGACATGCTAAAGTGAAAGAGGGAAATTTCACAAGGATTCACCCCTACATAAAGAGCTACTGGCAATTAGTGGGTGTTAAGAGAAGGAGAATCGGTTTCTCCAGGGACAACACCCGTGACAAGTTAACACTGTCCCAGGTGGTCAGTCCTAAATACATGTACATACAAGCAACACTAAATAGGCTCAGTAGGTCACATACATATTGTGTACATATGTAACAATAATAGTTAAAGAAGATGAGGCCATGAATTTGAAAGGAAGTGAAGGACATAGGAGTTGAGAGAGCTTGAGGGGTGGGAATAACATAAATATACTCATGTATGAAATTCTCAAAACAATCATTAAAAACTGAGTCTTGGAATCAATACTTGGGTAGAATAACAACAAAAATAATCTTTTATTTTTTTCTTGTAAAGGAAGGAATTATCTCAGAAAGTGACTCCTTAGTGCCAGGAAGAGTGCTGACAATAAACAGCATGGGAGGTCAGACAATGAGAAAGAAGAGAGATGCAGGAACAGATGGACCTGATGGGCGAGAACCTCCTCCAGGTCTTTCCACACAGACTGAGAGTTTCCTATTGCAGCAGCCTGTCAATAGCTTAAGGCTTCAGAGTCATCGTTATGAATCCTGGAGGTGAGGTTCTAGGAGCAGCTCGTAGCCTACAGTTTCTGTGTGGTATATGGAACACAGGGTCTACGGGCTCACATCTCCTCAGGTCTTGGTCCTGTTTAGGTGACTGCACCTGCTGAGATGAAGCAAGCCTTACTCTTCAACTATCTAGCCTGACACCTCTGCCTCTGGTTGAGGGAAAAGGTAAGTAATTCTTCTTACAAAAATGTCATCACAATCTCTACTCTTTTATCATGTAACCTAATCCCCAGGCTTTGTCTGAAAAGTAAAATTAAATACCTCATAGAATTTAGCAATGGTTCATTCCTACATTACTGCTTGGATGCCAACCTCCCTATTGTATGGACAGTGAACACTGCTGTAGATCTAGTCTTTGAATGCAGAGTAGTGCTGTGAGATAAGAAAATGGGACATTTGGATAAGGAAGGCAAGGTTTATAACTCACACAAGGTAGCCCTAGTTAATATGCTAAACACTTCAAAGCCACAGGAAAAGGAAATCAAGGCATGTACTCTTCACACCTTAGGGAAATAAGATATTTCTCACACCAAGCCAAGCAACAGCACTTCCCCGGTGACCCTTGGTGCTAGCCGCCCAAGGTGCCCGTCTTTCATTCTATAGCAGCAGGAGCTTGGCGGAACATTGACAACTGGAGGCTGAGAAATGAAAAATATGGTCTTCCTGCTCACAGAAGAGGTTCTCAAGCATCTTTGCTAACACAGCATTGCTGAAAGGGCTTGTGTATGAGTCAGACACACATGTTAAGTGGGCTGATGAGACTTGCAGAATCTGTAAGGGTTTCTGATGAAGCAGCATACAAGACTGCCTTTGTGAGTGTGGCACACTGTATAATTTGACTTGTTTGGATCTTTTGTTATTATATGTTGTACTTCACCGAAGCCTGCTGCAAGCTCTTTTTCCTAATTTCTTGGTAGAGAATTGAGGCTTTGTAGCAAGAAAGCTAACTACTCAAATTTCACAGGCAGAAATGAGTGAGACAGTTATAATGTTTAATGTTTATTAGCATTTGATTACAGGAACATGAGCTTGGTTTGCCTAATTTCCTGATCACGGATGCATTTCTGTTCTCACAGAGGCAAAGTAAAGACCATGAATACAGATGGAGCGAGATGCATGCTTCCTTAGGCTCCCAGACCTCTCCTCCTTCCTAGAGCCAGCACCCTCCTAGAGCTGCAGATTCAGCAATGAAAGACAGAGGTACCTGTATTTTATCTCATGGTTCCATTGAGGCTCCTAATAGCATGCTCTTAATCCTAGGCCATGAAAACCTAATTTGGGAAAAGTCAGAGTTAGTCATCAAAACTTCAAACAGTATTTCTTTAAATCTAGTCCCAGATAATCGACATCAGAACTGCCTGAAATGTGAGAAAAAAGGAAGATTCCAGGGCTGGAGAGGTGGCTCAGTGCTTAGAGCTAATACCACTCTTGCAGGGCAGGGGAATTTGATTCTCCAGCACTCTTGTCCAGAAGCTAACAACTGCCTACCATGGCAGTTCCAAAGGGTCTGATGCTCTCATCTGGCCACCCTGCATGTGCATAAATCCACACTCAGACACACATATGCACATAATAAAAAAATTAAAATTAATTAAATTTTTATAAGGCTAGCAAATAAGAGCATTTCTTTTCTCTCTCTATCTCTCTGTCTCTCTGTCTCTCTCTGAGACAGGGTTTCTCTGTATTGCTTTGGAGCCTGTCCTGGAGCTCACTCTGTAGACCAGCCTGGCCTTGAACTCACAGAGATCCTCCTGCCTCTGCCTCCCAATTAGGATTAAAGGTGTGCACCACCAACGCCCGGCCTGGAAGGGAATATAAGAGTATTTCTTACTCTTGCAGAGCCCCAGGGCTCAGTTCCCACCATCCACATGGTGGCTCACAACCATTTACAACTCCAGTTCCAGGGCACTCAACAGCCACTTCTGGCCTCTATGAGCACCCAGAATGAATGAGGAGCACATAAATACATGCAGGGGAAACAATAACACATGAAATAAATAAATCTAAAAAAATGAAGATATGTGATTATCATCATAGGCTCCCAGAGTCAGAAACTGCAGACAGCTAATTATGAGACACACTAAGCAAGGGCCTTAGAATCTTCTCCAAAATGTACACACTTAAGTATGTCTTTTTACTTTCAAAGGATAAGAAAAGAAATAGTAAACCTGGCATTTACCTGGTACCTGGACTTCAGTAAATACGTGTTCCCTTAATTCCTTTTTTAAAAGTTCATGTTCCAGGCTGGAGAGATGGCTTATCAGTTAAGAGCACTGGCTGCTCTTCCAATTCCAGATCCAATTCCTAGTACCCACATGTCAGCTCATAATGATAATTCCAGTTCCAGGGTATCTAACACCTTCACACCAATGCACATAAAATACATTTAAATAAATCACAAAAAAAATGTACATGTTCCTTTGCCCGGAGCAAAAGGGGGTAGATGCCTACACAATCTGAAGCTCTGTGATTACTCGTATAAAGAGGACCTGCCTAAATTGGAGACTGAAAGTCAAAGGACCCAATCTAGTGAGGGCTTAATCCTTTGAGACAAAGAAAAAAAAAAAAGGAAAGAAAGAAAACAAAAACGGATCCTCGGTCAGCAAGCAGAGGAGTCTGCAACGACTTTCTCCATTTCCAAACCACCACTATACCAGGTGACTTAGTACACCCGGTACACCCTGATCCAAGAGTTAACTGGGATTCCCTCAGGATCCGTCCCAGTATTAACAGCCAGCATTAACCGGCCAAGAGGTATTGGGGTTTGGAAAGACCACATGTGGATGGGCAGCATGGCTCAGTGATTACAGGAGCGGCCCCCTAAACTGCCCACCTGAGGTGATCCCTCAGAGCCTACGAGGGAGAGAACCGAGATTGTCTTTTGACCACGAGCGCCTGCGCAAAACAAATAGTTGCTTTGGTTTAAACTACATGCCCCAAGATGCAATTGCAATTTTCTCAAAGACTACCTTTCCCGACATGCGCTGCAGCCAGGATTAGCGAGGGAAAAGACCTGTAAACCTGACTGGAAAGTTTACCCCTGCAGTACCTCAGGCAAAGGAAAGTTTTCAAAAGGCCTCAGGCATTGCCCCTACTGAGCACCCGTCC